CTGTCGCCGCCGCCGCCAACCCCGCCACCACTCCCACCACCACCCCCACCCCCTCCACTGCCTCCACCACCACCTCCACCGCCCCCGCCAGCCCCTCCAGCGCCCTTGCCCCCCTTGTCCTTGCCGGTGCGGCGTCTCCCGCTAGGGGCAGACGCAGCGCCGACCGACTCGAAACCAACGAGGTCGGCCAAGCAGCAGAAGCAACTGAGGGCAAGAGGGGGGAGGGGGAACACCCCTCAAAGACGGGGGTGCGAGGGTCACCACGAGAGGCTCCTACAGCGACTATGCTCTTCTCTATCGCTAGGAGGCCCTTCTCAAGGAGGTCAACGGTGAGAGTGGTGGGGCAAACAGAGAGGAAGTGGTCCCTGACTACGAGGAGAGAGTTAGGGAGCCGGGTGACTATGTAGTAGAGGGTGATGTACATGGGGGGGGGGTTCTTGGTGCAGAACTCAGCAGGAAGCGCAGCGCGGTAGCGAGTGTCACTAGTGCGGAGGTGCGTAATGAGGTCAGCGACTGTGGGAAAGGCAGCAAGGTCAGGGAAGAGGTACTGTAGCATGAGGCGGCTCAGTGCAGCAGTGGCAGGGGAAGAGTAGCGTGCAACTACAGCATCGTACAAGGTCTGAGCACTCTTGTACTTGCTAAAGTGTGCACGCTCAGTGGTCGGTAAGTGGCGACGCAAAGCAAGACGGGCAGCATCATCGCGTGTCGCCCACTGTGAGCGAACAGTGCTGTCAGCAGTAGCAGGCGGGGCAGGGGAGGCACCAGAGGTGAGGTCGAACAGAGAGAGGACGTCTGCCCTATCGCACTGGAGGAACAGCTGGAGGTCATCGACCCATACCTCAAAGTCAACGGCACGGCCCTCAGCATCAAAAGTAAGGACACTGGGGCAAGCCATGACTGCAGTGGCCTAGTAGGGAGTGAGCTCACAAGTAGGAACAACAGCGGATTGTCAGTACATTTTAGCTTATACATTTGTATAGGCTGTAGTGGGGTAGCCCATAAGGGGTACAACCCAATTAGGGTTAGTACTTGTACCCAACTCTTTCATAGTTCATTCATTTCTCTCGTTTCATTCTTCACATGGTATAGAGCTGGTTCCCTCGTGGGAACTGTTCCTAGGGCCCACCAACTTTTTTTTCCTGCCCGGAGCACGCTTGGCCCCTGCCCGAGTCGCGCCCCGAGTCGTCTCCCCTCTAGCGGCCTCTAGCGGCCCCTAACGGCCCCGTCGCGCCGCCCTTTCGGCCTCGTCGCGCCGCCCTTGCGGCCCAGTCGCGCCGCCCTTGCGGCCCTGTCGTGCCGCCCTTGCGGCTCCGTCACGCCGCCCTTACGCGGCCCCGTCACGCCGCCCTTGCGGCCCTGTCGTGCTGCCCTTGCGGCCCCGTCGCGCCGCCCTTGCGGCCCCGTCACGCCGCCCTTGCGGCCCTATCGCGCCGCCCTTGCGGCCCCGTTGCGCCGCCCCTTACGCGGCCCCGTCACGCCGCCCTTGTGGCCCTGTCGCGCCGCCCCTTACGCGGCCTCGTCGCCGCCCTTCCCTTGCGGCCCCGTCGCGCCGCCGTTGCAGCCCCGTCGCGCCTGTCAACGGGAGTTGTGTGTTGGCCCCGTCCACGCTTGGGCGGAGCCGACTTCGTGGTGGGGTGTACGGAAGGTACAGCCGACTTGCAGCAGTGGGCGACGCCGACTTGGACGAGCTGGTCGACGGGGTTGGTCGACTTGCACGGCGCCGACTTGCAATACCGCCGACTTGGGAGGTCGCCAACTTCAAGAGGTCAGTCTGGAAGTCGGCGCCGACGTAGAAGGGGCGTCGACCTGGTGACGCCGACTTGGGTAGCTGACAACTGCACTGGTCGACCAGGAGTGACGTCGACCTGGATCTGGTCGACCGGAGGAGTGGTCGACCTGGTGAGGTCGACCTGGTGTGGTTGTCGACTTGGGAGGTCGACGAGCACATACAGGAGCAGCTGGTCGACATAGTTGCCCGGTCGACGAGGATACATGGGTGACGAGGTTCTGCGAAGGAGTGCGACGGTCACCCAGGCGAAGTTGGCGAGACCGACCTCCATGGTGGTATCCCGAGGTCGTCGTGGCGGATCAGAGGCAGTCGCTAGCCCGAGGTTGACGTGGTGTATGCGCTGTGCAGGTGACGAGACTTTGCATGCCAATCATCTGCGCGCACCTGCAAAGCGGGTGCACTGCTGTCCTGCGTGAGCAATGCTGGCACACCGTCAACCTGCAGCGTTGGCAAGCTGTCGACTTTGCACTGCTGTAGCGTGGTCGACCAAGTCGTGCTGGAACGCGGTCGACCATGCTGTGCTGGCAGTCGACCATGCTATGCTGGCAGTCGACCAACCTGAATGCTAGCTCTGATGTAGTCTTGCATTGCCAACTTCATTGTACCATCATTGACAACTTTCTCTAGTGAAACTCTTGCCAAAATTGCCCCGTGAACTAGCAAGCAGTGTGAGCACTAAGAAAACGTCTAAGGACCAACGAACGCAGACATCACACGAGCACACGTGCCTAGCCAGCACTCTAAGCTCCCGTTGTAGTAGTTATCTTCTCATGGTGCGGTGAGCGTGGATCGAACACGCGACGTAGTTCAGTCTAGCCGACTTAGCACATACCGATCGTGTTCGTAGACCGGCAGCCGTGAAGTCACTAGCGTGCGCGTAGGCGACGCCAAGGTGATGGACACCCTGGAGGGACGGCTGGAGGATGCGAGGAGACGCCATGAGGCCCAGGAGTATGGGGCGATACCCTGGGCAGTCGTCGAGGCCGGACTCCGCTCCGTGTGGGCGGCGGAGCATCCCCCTTCTCGACCTGCCTCTCCTCGACCGGTGAACAACGACGGCGGCGTCGATGTGGGCGTCAACGCCGGTGGAGGTCAGGTCGGCAGCAGTGTGGGAGGCACGTCGAGGCAACGAGGTGTGATACACGCCGGTGAAGCCGGCGGCGTTCAGGCGAGAGGGATGCAGTCGTCGGTGGCTGCAGGCTCCTCACATGGTGACGGCGGTGGGCGTCGAAGTGGGCTGTCGCCGATGACGGCGTCCCAGGTGACGGCAGGTGGGATTGCACCGAGCTACGGCTACTTCAAGTTTACGCCGGACAGGATCTCGGTCACCCCTCCGCTGGTCGGTCGACCCGACATTCTCACCTGGAAGGAAGCCATCGAGCCCCAGCTGGAGATGGCCGGGCTGATCGGCTTCGCCCGAGGGACCGTGGCGACGCCGAGTGAGCACCACCCCGACCTGCGTGCGGAGTTTCGCGCCGTGCAGCTGTTGACCTTCACGGTCATCTCGCGGTGCTGCTCGCCGGGCGTGCAGATCGCCTTGAAGTGGTGCCGGGAGTACCTCGACACTGGCCACCGGGCGTGGCACTTCATTGAGTCGACGTACCAGGTCACCGACGACCTGTTCATCGCCCAGCTGGAGGGACAGCTGACACACCTGCGTATGGGCGACGAGGAGAGTGCGACCGACTACTGCAACCGAGCCAGGCGAATTCTCGCCACCATCAGGATGGCCGGCGCGCAGTACTCCACGGCGTCATACATCACCCATGTCATGCAGGGTCTCTCTAGCAGCTACAACCTGCTGAAGCGGCTGTCTATGGCGCCGAGCACAAGGGCGATGCTCAACGAGGACAACTTGACCTCATACATCCTGCAGGTTGAGGCGATGCAGGAGGCTGAGCGATCGCAGGAGCTCTTGGCGCTGGCCAACTTCGTCGCCCCTGCGAAACAAGGAGGCCGACCAGGACAGCGCGGACAGTCTGGTGGCGGCGGGAGCGGTAGCTGGAAGTCGACCAAGGAGGTCGAGAAGAAGTCGACCAAGGACGGCGGTCGAGGAGGAGGAGGTCGACGTCGGGAGTGCTGGATCTGCCACAGCCCCGATCACCTCTCCTTCGATTGTCCCGACCGCAGTGACTCCGACGACGACGACAAGGGCGGCCGCGGGAGGTCTGGCAGTCGTCGTCCTCGTCGTGGAGGAAATCATCCGCGCAAGGAGAAACAGTCGACCAAGGCATCGACTTCGGCGAAGGACGCCGACTCCGTTGCAGGCGGCAAGGGGCGAGACGACAAAATGGCTTCGTGCTCGCTGGTCGGCGTCGTGGAGCCGACCATCTCTCTGGCGCCGGAGGCCGGAGAGGACTTCCAGGCGGTGGCGGCGGCTGTGCAGGCGAACCCGGCGGTGGTCCTGCTCGACAGCGGTTGCTCCCACCACCTGATGGGAACGAAGGAAGCCTTCGTTGACCTGCAGCCGAGTGGCTCCATCAAGCACGTGCGCGGCTTCAATGGGGCGCTGCAGGATGTCCAGGGCCGCGGCACCGTCGCCCTGCAAGGGGAGGCCGGGAAGCAGGTGCTCATCCCCGACGTGCTGTACGTCCCGGGTGTGCGGGCGAACTTGCTGTCGTCCGGCCAGCTTAAGGAGCACGGCGTAAAGCTGCAAGAGGACGGCGACGGGATGGTGCTCGTCTCGGCAACGGGAGAGGTGCTCGGTCGGGCGACGTACTCCGGGCGTGTCCTCTGCACCGACCTGCGTCCCTGCTCAACGAGGTCGACGTCGCCCACGACGGAGGTTGTGGCTCTGCGGGCGATCGTCTCGAAGACGAAGTCGACGCCGGACCGTATGCATGCCCGGCTTGCACATGTCGGCATGGACACCATACGGAGCTCGGCGAAGAACGAGGTCGCCATTGGGCTGGACCCCAAGTCGGCGACGGGCGCCGACTCTCCGTGTGTCTCGTGCGTCGGCGGGAAGCTGGCGCGGCACACCTTCCCCGACCAAGGCTCCGACGCCGACGATGTGCTGGCCGTCGTGCACATCGACCTGTGCGGGCCATTCCGCGTGGCTGCCAAGGATGGCAGCCTGTACTTCTTATTGCTGAAGGACCGCAAGACCCGCTACGTGTGGGTGAAGCCAGTCACCAAGAAGTCAGATGCGTTGCCGGCGTTCGTGCAGTGGCTGGCAGTGGCTGAGCGGCAGACGAAGAGGTCGGTGTTAATGCTGCGCTCTGACCGGGGAGGGGAGTTCCTCGGGAAGCAGTTCACCGACTTCGTGAACGGCAAGGGGATCGTCCACGACCTGACCTGCCCATACACCCCGCAGCAGAACGGCATGGCGGAGCGGGAGATGAGGACGGTGGTGGAGTCGGTGCGGACAATGCTGCTGCACATGGGCGTGCAGCACCACTGGTGGCACCTCGCTCTCCGGCAGGCCGTCTGGGTCCGCAACTGCCTTGAGAGGTCGGCGCTGCCGCCGGGGACGACGCCGTACCAACTGCTGACCGGGAAGAAGCCCGACTTGTCGCTGGCGCGGGTGTGGGGCTGCATGGCGCAATTCTTAGTCACCGAGCAGCAGCGTGGTGGGAAGCTGCAGCCGAAGGCCAGGTGGGGCCTGCACCTTGGCGTGTCGGCGGCGAGCAAGGGCTGGGAGCTCCTCGACGTCGACGCCGACCGGGTGGTCACCACGTCGGATGTGGTGTTCTACGAGGAGCTGTCGCTGGCCGAGTGGAAGACGGAGTACGGGTCGGTGTCCGGCCGCTCGTCGCCCACCCCGCCCTCTGACACCTCGTCGGCGACGCTGCCACTGCTTGCCGAGGTCGGTGAGCTTGCTATTACGGACGTCGAGGACGTCCGCCCTACCCCTCCCCCTCCGACCCCTGCCCCTCCCCTCGTGGCCGACCTGCGTGAGCTGACCACGGTGTCGGCCTCCGGCGATGAGGGGAGTAGTGGGACGTCGCCTTCGGCCAAGTGCATCGCCGGTGGCCGACGTGACGAGCGGCGGGTCGACGTGGGATTGCAGTCGACGTCAACAGGGGAGGAGCAGGTCGAGAAGCAGGTCGAGGACCAGCGGCCGACAAAGGAGCAGGCAGCAGTGACGTCGACCAAGGAGCAGTCGGCGACCGGGCAGTCGGCAGGGGAGCCGACCATAGGGGAGAAGTCGGCTGGGACGCCGGCTGAGGAGCACCAGGACGCCGAGGGCAGCGACAACAGCAACGATGGAGGGGACGCCGAGGAGGTCCAGCCAGGACCACGGCGTTCAGGCCGACTTCGGAGACCGCCTGACTTCTTCGTCCCCGCTGCCTTCACCACGGTGTACGACGTGGACGATGAGGCCGACGACCTGCTGTACGACGATGCCGAGGAGGATGAGGAGTTTCCAGAGCTCGACCCCGACATGCTAGCCGACCCCAAGCACCGTTGGGACATCTCGACGATGACGGTGAAGGAGGCGTTGGCGAGCTGGAAGGGCCCGGCGGTGAAGGCCGCCATGGAGGAGGAGATTCGCAGCCTCCTCAACATGGGAACGTGGGAGTTGGTCGAACGTCCGCCGGGAGTGAACGTCATGAAGAACCGGTGGGTGTTGACGACGAAGTACCACGTCGACGACACCGTCGAGCGCGAGAAGGCGAGGCTGGTTGTGAAGGGCTTCACGCAGGTGTACGGCGCCGACTACGACGAGACGTTCGCGCCGGTGGGCAGCTACGTCACGCTGAGGATCTTCCTCAGCATCGTCGCCGTCCGCAACCTCAACCTGATGCAGCTCGACATGAAGAACGCCTTCTTGCAGAGCAAGCTCGACAGGGTGCTCTACATGTCCCAGCCGGACTACTTCAACGACGGGACCGGCCGGGTGTGCAAGCTGCTGAAGAGCCTGTACGGGCTAAAGCAGTCGCCGCTGCTATGGTACTTGGCGCTCAATGACGTGCTGGTCGGCGCCGGGTGGAAGAAGAGCCAGGTCGACGAGGCTCTCTACTTCAAGGACGGAAAGGACGGAGTGGCCTGCTGGGTGCTGGTCTACGTCGACGACCTACTTGCCGCCAGCAGTAGCGCCGCGATGTTGAAGGAGCTGAAGGAGCTTCTGGAAGCCGCCTTCGAGCTGCCTGAGATCTCGCCGGTGCAGAAGTACCTCGGGCTGGAGATCGTCCGCGACAGGTCGGCGGGGAAGCTGTGGCTGCACCAGCAGGGCTACGCCGACAAGCTTCGTAGGCGCTTCATCGACGAGGAGCAGACCGGGCGCACCCCGAAGACGCCGGTCTCGGTCGATGCCTACGCCGAGCTCACGTTCGATGACGAGGAGGCACAGGAGCGGCAGGAAGAGGAGTACCGGCAGAAGGTCGGCTCGATGCAGTTCGCGGCGACGACGACGAGGCCGGACATCGCCTTCGCCTGCAGCAAGCTGGGGAGCGGCCTCACGGTGAGGAGCGACCAGCACTGGCGCGAGGTCGACCGCTGCCTCGCCTACCTCGCCAATACGCGCGACACCGCACTGGAGTTCGGCGGTGGACCTGAGTCGCTGGAGCTGGTCGGCTACGTGGACGCCGACGACGCCGGTGACAAGCAGAACAGGACGAGCAAGGGTGGCTACGTGTTCGTCTATGGAGGGGCCGCAGTCTCCTGGTCGAGCCAGCGCATCAAGTGTGCGACGTTGTCATCGACTGAGTCGGAGTACGTGGCAGCCACCGAAGCTGGCAAGGAAGGACGCCGACTTCGCTTCCTCCTTGCAGAGTTCCGACAGCTGGATGCCGGGAAGCCGACCGTCCTTCGGGTGGACAACAAGTCGGCCATCACAGTCGTCGAGGGCATGGGGTTGACGGGCAACCTCAAGCACATGGAGCGGCGACAGGCCTGGCTGCAGCACATGGTGAAGCGCGGGAAGTTCTCGCTGAGGTACATCCCGACCGCTGAGCAGCCGGCCGACTTCCTGACGAAGGCGCTGCACTATCCGACCTTCAACCGGTGCTCCGTCGCCATCGGCCAGGTGCGCTTGGCCGACGTGGGCGACGAAGATGACAACGTGCAGCAGTAGGTGCCATGCCCTCTTGCATGGCTGGTGCGGTGGACGACGTGCTGTGTGTTGGGTGCACGTCGACGAGCTATTCTCCGAGGAGTACTGCCGAGTGGACTTGGGGGGGCCAAGCGTGAGCGCGGCAGGGGAGTGTCAACGGGAGTTGTGTGTTGGCCCCGTCCACGCTTGGGCGGAGCCGAATTCGTGGTGGGGTGTACGGAAGGTACAGCCGACTTGCAGCAGTGGGCGACGCCGACTTGGACGAGCTGGTCGACGGGGTTGGTCGACTTGCACGGCGCCGACTTGCAATACCGCCGACTTGGGAGGTCGCCAACTTCAAGAGGTCAGTCTGGAAGTCGGCGCCGACGTAGAAGGGGCGTCGACCTGGTGACGCCGACTTGGGTAGCTGACAACTGCACTGGTCGACCAGGAGTGACGTCGACCTGGATCTGGTCGACCGGAGGAGTGGTCGACCTGGTGAGGTCGACCTGGTGTGGTTGTCGACTTGGGAGGTCGACGAGCACATACAGGAGCAGCTGGTCGACATAGTTGCCCGGTCGACCAGGATACATGGGTGACGAGGTTCTGCGAAGGAGTGCGACGGTCACCCAGGCGAAGTTGGCGAGACCGACCTCCATGGTGGTATCCCGAGGTCGTCGTGGCGGATCAGAGGCAGTCGCTAGCCCGAGGTTGACGTGGTGTATGCGCTGTGCAGGTGACGAGACTTTGCATGCCAATCATCTGCGCGCACCTGCAAAGCGGGTGCACTGCTGTCCTGCGTGAGCAATGCTGGCACACCGTCAACCTGCAGCGTTGGCAAGCTGTCGACTTTGCACTGCTGTAGCGTGGTCGACCAAGTCGTGCTGGAACGCGGTCGACCATGCTGTGCTGGCAGTCGACCATGCTGTGCTGGCAGTCGACCAACCTGAATGCTAGCTCTGATGTAGTCTTGCATTGCCAACTTCATTGTACCATCATTGACAACTTTCTCTAGTGAAACTCTTGCCAAAATTGCCCCGTGAACTAGCAAGCAGTGTGAGCACTAAGAAAACGTCTAAGGACCAACGAACGCAGACATCACACGAGCACACGTGCCTAGCCAGCACTCTAAGCTCCCGTTGTAGTAGTTATCTTCTCAGCGCCGCCCCTTACGCGGCCCCGTCACGCCACCCTTGCGGCCCTGTCGCGCCGCCCCTTACGCGGCCTCGTCGGCGCCCTTCCCTTCGGCCCCGTCGCCGCCCTTTCACGACCTCGCCGCCCGCCCTTACAGCAGCCCCGTCGCCCGCCCTTCAGCGGCCCCGTCGCCCGCCCTTTCAGCGGCCCCACCGCCGCCCGTTCAGCGGCCCGTCGCCGCCCTTCCCTCGGCCCGTCGCCCGCCCTTCAGCGGCCCCGGCGCCCGCCCTTTCAGCGGCCCCACCGCCGCCCGCACTTTCAGCGGGCCCCGTCGTCGCCCTTTCAGCGGCCCGTCGCCGCCCTTCCCTCGGCCCGTCTCCGCCCCTTCCTCGACCCGTCGCCGCCCTTTCAGCGGCCAGTTGCCGCCCTTTCAGCGGCCAATCGCCGCCCTTTCAGCGGCCTGTCGCCGCCCTTTCAGCGGCCCTGTCGCCGCCCTTCCACGGCCCCGTCGCCGCCTGAGCTGCCGAGCAGCCGGACCGCCAAGCAGCCGAGCCGCCCGACCGCCGAGCCGCCCAGCAGCCGAGTCGCCCACCAGCCGAGCCGCCCGACCGATGAGCCGCCCAGCAGCCGAGCCGCCTGACAGCCGAGCCGCCGAGCCGCCGAGCAGCCGAGCCGCCCAACCGCCCCACTTGCCTGGTAAGAGCAAAGTCTCTGCCACTGCACTGCCCTGCCCCACTGTACTAACTGCCTGTCTACTGCTGTTATGGCCTCCCCTAGCGTTCTCACCTTTGACGCTGAGGGTCGGGCAGTTAACTTTGAGGTCTGGGTAGATGATCTGCAGCTTTTCCTACAGTGCGATAGGGCAGACGGACTCTCCCTGTTTGACCTCACTTCTGGTGCCTATCCTGCCCCTGCTGCTAATGCTGATGCCATTGTTCGCTCACAGTGGGCCACGCGCAAAGCTGCTGCTCGCCTTGCTGTGCGCCGCCACTTACCGACCACTGAGCGTGCACACTTTAGCCAGTACAAGAGTGCTCAGACCTTGTACGACGCTGTAGTTGCACGCTACTCTTCCCCTGCCACTGCTGCACTGAGCCGCCTCATGCTACCGTACCTCTTCCCTGACCTTGCTGCCTTTCCCACAGTCGCTGACCTCATTACGCACCTCCGCACTAGTGACACTCGCTACCGCGCTGCGCTTCCTGCTGAATTCTGCGCCAAGCACCCCCCCCCCCATGTACATCACCCTCTACTACATAGTCACCCGGCTCCCTAACTCTCTCCTCGTAGTCAGGGACCACTTCCTCTCAGTTTGCCCCACCACTCTCACCGTTGACCTCCTCGAGAAGGCCCTCCTAGCGATAGAGAAGAGCGTAGTCGCTATAGGAGCCTCTCGTGGTGACCCTCGCACCCCCGTCTTTGAGGGGTGTTCTCCCTCCCCCCTCTTGCCCTCTATTGCCTCTGCTGCTGCGGCCGACCTTGTTGGTTTCGAGTCAGTCGGCGCTGCGTCTGCCCCGAGCGGGAGACGCCGCACCGGCAAGGGCAAGGGGGGCAAGGGCGCTGGAGGGTTTGGAGGGGGCGGTGGAGGTGGTGGTGGAGGCAGTGGAGGGAGTGGGGGTGGTGGTGGGAGTGGTGCCAGGGGTGGCGGCGGCAGCGGCAGCAGTGGAGGCGGCAGAGGCAGTGGAGGTGGCGGAGGGAGCGGAGGCGGCGGAGGTGGCGGAGGAGGCGGAGGTGGAGGAGGCGGCGGAGGCGGCGGCGGCGGAGGCGGCGACGGCGGAGGCAGCGGCGGTGGTGGAGCGGGTCGCGACTCTGCGCAGAG